TACATAGATGCCCTGGGATATTGTGCAGACGTGATTAGTTTTTGGTTGAATCCAATGTAATATGACTAATGGTTTCAGACAATTACTGTATATATAGCCATGCGTCCTCAATAATATGGTGTAATATCTTATAAAATGTTGCAGACAGGGACATGCAACTGGTGCTGTAATTATGTTGTCTGACGAGATATATGACCAAAATATCTAATCATCATATATGGTCACAAATCGGTGAAAATACATTTTCTTCTATATTTTCATACAAAAGTGCCAAAATGTCTTTTCAGCCAAAATTTATTTCAGCTATAATAAAGTATGTTTCATGATACCTTATATATCATTATATCATGCTGTTTTGTTACAGTCTTCTTCTTATGTCAGTACTACCTGATGGACCAGAGTATGAGGTGAAACTACAAGGTGAAGGTACAATGTCTGAACACAGGTCACAAAGAACGAGTACTGGGTCTCTACATTCACACAAATCATCTCCTCAGTCTATGCTGTTGTGTAATAAACAATTTGTCAACTGGGGAGGAGTTCCAATTGGTAGAGCATTGTGAGTATGTTGTTTGTTCATATAAATAACTGGTCGAATATGGTTGTTTGTGTTCCTGTTGCTAGGAATTCAATTGCCCAGATGTTACAAGGGAAAAAGCACAAACTTTTGTATGGGAGATGTTATTTGTCCCCTTTCGGATGCAGTTCGGGGACTTATGTTTTGACCTTTATGCATCCATGCGTGCGTCCAAACCTGTATCTTAGATATGCTTGCGTCAATCACAATAAAACTTCACACATACATCATACATAATATTATACATATGCACATCACGATCTTCAAGATGGCCGAATGATGTCCATTTTTGTGCTAAAAAATCATCAAAAATCAAGCATTTATGGCATTCCAGAACTGGATCTTGGCGTTTATGAATGGATTTTGTTCAAACTTGGTACATACATTAGAGATTACAGGTTCCTGATGCACGTCATTTTATTTTTCAGATCGGATTCAAAATGGCTGACTGGCCGCCATTTTGTTTAAATGAATGCGCTTATAGAGCCATATCTCTGATGTGCTTTGACTGATTATGTTCAAATTTTATATATTCGTTTTACATCATGTTATATATATATATATATATATAGATGTATTCAAAATGGTGGCCATTTTGTTTTAATTAATGCTGTTCTAGAGCAATATTTCTCAATATGGACAGACATTTGTTTGACGATCATATACACGATGCCAATCATTTTAATGTTAAAAAATCATCTTCTGGATCCATACTTCTGACTTGTTTATGTTCCAACTATATTACTATAAACAAAACTATATATCTTAAATTTGGCTTAAATTTTACTCTCCAAACATTGTTGGTTAACGAAGTTTAGTTTTTGCAAGCGATGTCATCTTAACATAGCATAGCAATGCATATCAACAGTCAATATACACTTTATGTGACTGCAAAATACCTTGGATGTTTTAATTTTGAACAATGTATACAATTTGTGTGAAAGTAAAGACATGAAATAAATAATAACATTCTGTTAGAATCATACTAAAATATTTTGCCTTGTGATGATTGTATATTTCTTGTATTGTGTTTATAAGTTTCAAGTGATAATCATTGTACATCCCAATGTGTTCTTGTTCTACAGACAACAAAAAGTGGTTTTACGTAATAATTTACAAAATGATGTACTGAAGTTGAGGATATTTATCCGTGCAGACCACCAGGACTTCCAGGTATCTCCATAGATTGTGTTCATTTCATTGTTAGATCTCTGTAGTTACTTGGCACTAAGTACAGAGGTAGTACACATACACTTATTCTGACAAGAAATGTTCTGTTCATTGTATTCAATGTATTCACACATATACATTGTACAATATCAAAATATTAAAACAAAAATTGCATCATATCTGACGGGAGCACTGAATACATGTATATATACCGCATTCTGTTTGTAATGTTATAGCTTCAGAGTTCTTTTGGGCATCAAGAAAATCTGTCAGACAGCAGACAAGTCATTCTTAAACCACTAGAGGATTTCCCACTTCATGTCCTATTTGCACCGACCAGTATCATCAGTAGGCAAGCAAAGTTAGTGATGAAACCATCTACTGGTGGAACTAAATTCACAGTAAGTATATTTATAAAGATACTAGGCAGAGGTATCGAGATGACCTTACATCGGATCGATTTCCTTATATTTATATTATTTACATTCATTGGAAGTTTAGGATAATGAATGACAGAGAAACTATCATGGGAGATTATTATTTTCTGTGCATTTCGGCAAGCCCTTCCTAGCAAAACAATACGTCTTTCATATGTATTTGACTGAGAAAGTCGTGTAATTGCTGTCAAATCAAATAGACATGATATTCGAGATACAGAAAATTGCATTTGCTATTAAGATGATATTAAGTTTGACGAGAGCACAAAGTACTATCTAAGTAACTGCTTTTAACATGTAACTACAGCAATTTATTTTAGGAAGTTTTATTGTAGGAGAATACAACTACATATTCTGTGTCTTTATTTTCTCAACGGAGATGTTTTCAGATGTTCAGTAAATTCTACTTACCGGTAACTGTAAATAAGCTGATGTGCTACAAAACTTCTTAATTAATACTTTATCAATATTTGTTTTTGAGTTATGATGACATGGTCACAAACACACAAATTGAGTTTATTTCTGATTGACTCTCTCAAACTATAATCTAAGACCTGTTTCCTACTCTAATTACCTTGCATGAATGAACATTTGGAAATTCACCATGTTGACAGCATTGTCCTCACAATGACTCAAAATGTTTGTGGGTAGTTTTTCAGTGTTCACATGTTTGTGGGTAGTTTTTCAGTGTTCACATGTTTGTGGGTAGTTTTTCAGTGTTCACATGTTTGTGGGTAGTTTTTCAGTGTTCACATGTTTGTGGGTAGTTTTTCAGTGTTCACATGTTTGTGGGTAGTTTTTCAGTGTTCACATGTTTGTTTGATGATGTGAATAATTTATTTCCAGGTTCCTTTGTATGGTTATGGTGGTATTAGTAACCTTATTATAGAGGATCTGGAAACTATGGGAAGTACATTCATGTCTAATATGGGATCCTTGTCATTGGGAAAGCATAGCATTACACAGATCACAATACAAAACACTGGACCCCGGGCTGCATTTGTCAAGGCTATACCATTTGAAGGTTAGTCATGCAATAGTTTTATGTTCAAGTCTTTTTCTCAAATATTGCTTGCATAAATTTACGTGTTTTGTATGACAATGCTGTAACTTTTGAAATTTTTGCAAGCCACAATGAGATTTGTGATAAGCATACTACATAGTATTATAATAACAAAGTTATGAAAGTTAGATTTCCACCAAATTTGGAATGGATCACCCCAAACAAATTCCTATTCATCTTTTAGAAATGATTATTGACACGTTTAGGTATTTGTATCTGGACAAATTTTACATTGAAAACATTTAAACGTTTAATTGGATCAAAAGGTAAATTGTTGTGCATATCTAATTTACTTGTACCAAGTGTGATAGAAATTGATTAGTCTGAAACTTAATATTCTCCTTTTTTCAGACATGGCAGCCAAGATTAAACTCTCACCTGGTGTGCTTGTTGTGGAGCCAAGTGAATTTATTGTGAAAGAGAAGAGCACTAGAACAGTAACAATAATGCTGAATCCAAGTGAACGAGAGACTGGACTCTGTCATACAAAGTCTAATGTTGTTACCACTATTGGTTTCTTTTATGGTGATGAGATAACCAGACAGCAGTATAGAAGGTGAGGGGGGCGGGTAAAATAAAGTCAGACTGGCTGCTACTTACATAAATTAGAACCCTATAAAAAAGAAACCCAGGCTAAATTGCAAGGATGTCAAAACAAGGCAGGATGGTAGCTGGAGAGTTTTTCAGATAGGATTTATGAGGAGGATAGGAAAGAAACAATCTTGTGATGCGAGACAAATATACCCAACTGTATGTATTCAGATACAGTCAATTATTACAATTTTGTCTATTTTCAGGACTGTTCATAAATCATCAACTAAACCAATGGCTTTATCAGAGAATAACCCTTTGAAGGGTGTTATATTTGATTGTCCTTACTCCGGTGAAGACTATGTCTATGAAGGTTAGTAAATACTGTAGAAATAATACGTGATAAACTATCTCATTGAACAAGGGTTGATGCGGTAATTCACTCGTATATGGTAACAATTTCTAGTTTGTTTACTTAATTAATACTGGATTACGAGGTGGATAAAAAAGAACATGTATTTAAAATATTTTTAACGTGAAAGTAAATGTTTGCACATCTCATCTGACTGGAAATCAAATATTTCATTCTTTGCATAACAGATTATTAAAATTCTTTATTATTTTTTGCAGCATATAATCTTCCAGAATGTTCAAATGATGTTAGATTATTTTATTCATGTATGTCACGATTGATGTTAGCACTGACAGGAAACCCACCTTGTGAAAAATCTTTCTATGATTTGGAAGCTGACTCTACATGCATGTCAGAGTCGCCTGGCATGATGCCTAAGACTGAAGACGATACTATCAACTTTGATCAAACCATTAAGTAAGTGTAACTTTCTTATGTCTGGTTAATAGCAAAATTCTGTTTATACTGTGCTGTTCATAACATTTAGCTACTGTGAAGACATTGAAGTTGCATTTTCCAATTAGCATTTTTGTGTAGTGAGTCCTGATAATAAACTGTGAACTTGCTGTATATTCTGCGTACAAAAATGGATTTTATAGCTCAGAGATTACATTTGGTTGTGAGAAAAGAAGTTACCGTATTACCCCGGGCACGCGCCCAGGGGCCTGAACATACAAAATCAGGAAAAAATGGGGGTGGGCGCTTACCCGAGGACCACACCAAAAAAGATTTTAAAAAGTTGTTTTTGTGATCGTATGACAAGGTCAATAAAGGAATGCTTTCGTACACTTTGTACACGTACTTATTTCTTGATTTATGCGAGGTTTCAATAAACGTGAGCACTTGGTCAAAAAATGTGGGCACACTAAGACATGGGGTCGAATTTCAAGAATACAACTTGTTTTATGTCAGCGAATGAAGTTGTATTACTCACTGAAATTGGCTATAAAGTATGGTAAGTATTGTAATCAATGCACGGTTACTTTTTTAGTAACCGTGATCAGTGCATACAAGTCGAAACGGCCGGGAAAAACTACCACTTGTAATCGAAGATGGCGATGACCTCATTAGCATAATTTTGTTCACGCACGTATTGATACATCGCATGGTAATTACTGAAGAATAGCAGACAGGGTTATGAAACAAATAAACCTTTTATTACTGATGTGAAATGTTTACAAACTATTGATAATGTTTTGTATTTTATTGTGAATACATAAACATATCCAAATGGTGATACATAAAAAACAGACTGAAAATAAACTCTGGTCGACCTCATTAACATGATTTATTCACGCACCCACACACGTGACAAAATTACAAAAATAACGATGATGCAACAAGTTCCCATCGTCGGCATGCCTCATTATGGTTATCGTAATAGACTTGAGGTCGGCAAAATGTTTTTTCTTAAACGACAGAAAAATAATCCACATGACGGTAATGCCATAGCTGTGATGAAGGATGGAAAGAAAGTAGCAAGTTTACGACGTGATGCCTCAGAAGTGCTAGCTCCCGTTATGGATTCACAGTCAGCGAAATACTACGTTTTGAAACCAAGGCTAAGTGCTTCAAACCACTCACCAAGGTATGGATCGTTGCAATATTGGATTCATCGTGAATGAAGAGAAAGCAGAACGTGTGCACCACATGCTGCGTGGTTCATCTTACGTCGTTAAGTTCCAATGAGTTTTTACGTAAAAACACAAACAAAGCGGCCCTTTTCAGGGCCACCACACACTCCCAAAAGAGAACTACCGTAACAAACACACTATTTAAATAAGTCGAACGCGTTAGTTTTTGACAAATAAAACTTTATTGTTGACCCCGTTCTTGGCTAAAAATCACCCTGAGCGCTTGTCCAGGGAGGGGCGCGTGCCCGGGGTAATACGGTAGGTACTACTGCGTCAGACATTATTATTGGCTAAAATTCAGCTTTTATTAAGGAACTATTATACACAAATGATCAAGTAAATATGTTGACTTGAAGTTGTATTCTTATTGGAAATAGTGCCATGTACACAGTGCTTCATTCCTTTCTTGCAGCAAACCTGGTCTCCTGCCTACTATGCACACACCACCAGTGAAAGGGAGCAGTAATACTAATGGTAACCTGAGATTATATCAAAACACTCAAGTTAATGGTGATGATAATAGTTGTACTCATTGGGAAGTCACACCAGAGCAAATACTATTATCAACACAGCCTGATATCCATCAACCTGTGAATAGAAGTCGTATACAGTTGATTAATTACACTGAAAGAAAGCTAAGGTGAGATGTTAACGAGCTGGTGCTTCACTCATTGTGTGCCCAAGTCATCTTTCACAAAAAAAAACTTTTTCCATATTTTTTTTTCCAATGATTTTGTTTAAGATTAGTAGGCAATGAGAAATTATGTCTATTCAGTCAGAAATTAACAAAGATGTTAGCGAATAATAATTTTGGTGGAAAATTATTGTGATCAATGTGTTAAAGGTGAATATTACTTGTCAGATTAATCTGAAAGAAAATGTGCATACTAGATGGCAAACTGTAAACTGTTGTTTTTCTTGTCTTTTCAAGATTTAATAATTTGACATCGTTCATGACGATGTCATTCTGCAAAAGTTGCTGTGAAGTTTTTTTTTTTGAGAATCCAACTGAAATGTTCACTGCTACAAAAGTCACCGTTTTAAAGATCCAAATGTTCTTTGCTGCAAACATGTTTTGGATTCTTTACTTTTATATTCAAGTCATATTGCTGAAAATCAAACATTCTGTCCCACATTAGGTAAAATTCTACGTTAAGACCGAATATTGCTGAAAATAAAATATTACATTTTGGTCAAATCAAGGTCACATGGTCATATTGTGTGCATATAATTATAACAGCTACAAACAGGACATGCTGAAATTGGGACTCATTTTTAATCGCTCCAAATTCAAAGCTATGTAAATTAGAATGAATTTGAACGCGAGCAATACACACATGCAGGCTTGCAGGCTCGTAAATAAACCAGAAACACTACAGTCGATTCCAATCAACTAATAGATTGTTGAAAATGCCGAGATGTTTGGCGTAAATGAATATTGTACTAGATTTGTTAATATTGATGATACACAATTAATATTTTTCTTTGAAACAGATCATTAAATTGATTTACATTTGAAGAGATGTGATGCCATATCTGTACTTGTACATTCAGACATCAACATATTGTTATGAGGGTGTTCAACTGTAGTTGAAAACTGTGTGGTGTTCATTTTGACTGTTATCCATTCTCGAAATGGATTATTTTTCACCTTCAATCTCTGAATTTGTTTCAATACATGTAGTGTACTCATAACCTTGTAGAGTATAATTAATGAAAGTTT